AATGCAGTCTCCTGCTCAGACTATAAAAGTACTTCTATGTTAATGCTTCCAAACTGGAATTTTTAATCACACTGCACAGTTCCTTCGTCAGTTATCTGCCAATAAAATCCTGGCCTACTGCAAGACTCTTGCTACACATTGATGAATAACTCAGCATGGATGTGTAACTTTGTATAACAGTTTTTGGGAAACTTTCATGAACTTATTTGAAAGTAGCAATCTATTTGGCCTGGTGTGGCTTCTTTATCGATGTATTTAGAGTTTGCTGGTAGATCGAAAAGTATTTGACTTCTTTCATGTTCTGTGACCATGTAACTTCCAATATCAAATGTGCAATCAAGAAGTTTGACATAAATATTTATTTTATCTCCTAATTAAATCCGAATGTATGGGTCCTATCATTATATTACTTTATAATAGTTTAAACGTTGTTAAGCTGCTGCCTCAAAATGTTAGAATTCTTTGAGAAAATGACCGATGATTTCATCTAGCTGATTTCCATTGCGTGAATTGGGAGGATAGTGAGAAAAAGTTGTTTGAAATCGTAAGGTCCTTGATTTCAAATTCCTTTGGCACTCGACACTTTTTATGCTTTAAATTGTAGATTAAGTTTTTAAATTCGTTCATTCTTGGGATTTTTCACCACTCAACCTTCCTTCTTTATTTTGTTTACTCTGCATTTGCTTCTACTACATGGGAGATTATCCCTGGAAAACCGATGGTAATGTTTTCGTAGCCACGTGTAAAACATGGTTGTCAGCTCTCCGGTGGCCACATGACTTGAGAAAGCTTTCTGTTCCAAAAACGCAGGCCTCCTCTGCTTGAACTAAGGGTGGTCTCCATCGCTGGTGTAGACCTTGGCGGGCCAGCCGCCCGTGGGTGACGTGATTATTCCCGTGGCAGCAGGCCGGCCGGACCATCCAGCTGAGGGCAGTGGTACAAACACAAGCTGATGCGGAAAGTTACGCTCTGTGGTATTCAGCTATAGTGTGTACAGTAGATACAGGCAGAAAAGAGACATAGGACAGCAGTGTAACAATATGTTGCCTTGAGTCTACTTCTAACTGCTTTTAGAAGTAAAGCACAGACTCTGACGGAATGGAGTTCTGGTTACTACGGGCTAGATCTTCATTTAGTGCAAATATCTAAATGACAGCGAAGATAGATAGAATTCTCTTTAGAACTCTTCAATAGCCATATTTACATGCAAGAAAATGGCTGCAAAGGCCTAACGTAATATTTGTACCTCTGTAAGACGTAAAGCTTTCATGTTTTATTCAGACGACCTTTCCAAACTTGTGCGTGGGATATGCGCTGCTAGGGGCTGAGACGTGAGCGCACGTCCGCGTGCTGTAGAAGCCACGCACAGATCTACATGCATGTCATACGTAAACCGAGTGCAGATGCTTTTGTTAATTTAGACATGGTTTGGGGGACTTTGGTTAAGTTACGTGGCATTCCAATATACTTGAGCATTACAGATCTTCAGTTAAAATGTGCGTTTGGGCAATTAGTAAAATATGTGTGTGTATCAAAATGAATTAACTACTTTATGTAATCATAATGATATTTACTGCTTAATTTCCAGCTTGCAAATCAAAGTGTATTTCCTGACACTGGGAAAAAGGCTGTTGTATACCGGTGGCAGAGAAGGAAAAGCAGAAAGCAACTCAGAAAAGATTATGCTTCCAACCAGTTCACAGAGTAAGACATGCTAGGCCTGATTCACTCTTGTTACTTTATGTTGAAATAATTTCAGTAATTTAAATGGGATTACAGTAGGGAACTGAGTACAATTTCCTTTTTTTTTTTTTTAACATTAAAAAAGATTTAACTGAGGAACAAGTTTCCTAAAGCTGAGTGGCAATTTGATAAGCATGTTTAAAGAAGGGCAGAACCAGTCAGTCCTACTCTAGCTGCAAAGGTAATTTTATGGGCATGAGTTGCCCCACTGAACTCGGGAGGACTGTACAAATGTGTGTGTTTTGCAGGATCACAGGTTTTTAGTGGATAAAAAGTCTTTGTTCTTTCCTGTTACTGTCACTTGGAACATTCTGGCCTAATTCAATATCAGAATAGTTTTTGGTAAGGATTCTCTTATGAAAAGAAAATTGTACTTACTTTTGAATCCTTTAAAAATAACAACATCACAGAGCAATGTAGGAGTTGGTTTTTCATTTTCCATTTTGCCTGACAGTGTTTCCATGGCCATCTGTGGAAGTAGCCCCTCTCATATTTAAATACATGACTGAGGAGGTATGAGTCTGTTATTTGTTAATGGGGTCTCAAAAATGCTCATAATTAATCCAAACCATATATGTGCACTATTTAATTCTCCTTTGCATGTTTATTCATTCCTGGTAGTGTGGGTGCAAAACTGCACGTTACATGCACACAACGAGATATGTTTCATGGAAAACGATTTCCAGATTTATCACACTACTGAAAATATATTTTCAATAGAACAAATATAGTAACAATATTAAAACATTTATTAATCAGATATATTTTTTATATAAACAAGTGTTTGGGTAACCAGAAAGGAGCAAACAAGGGATTCTTTTGGTGAGGACCTTTATTAAAAACATTGTAAATCCTCTCCAGGATTTTGTGCGTTTATATGGCTTGCTTTTTGTTCCTGGTGTTGTGCGATATGACACTTTTATAATTGTTATCTTGATCAAATTTACATTTCCCCCATTTTGGAAACATTTCATTTTCTCCTGCTCAGCTTCCTTGCTTATTCTTCTGTTTTATTGAGTGCAAACAAATGTGCCAGTACTAGGGCTTTTTTACGTTTCTTTTTCTTCATTAAACACAAAACAAAACCAAACAGGTGTTGTTTTTCAAATTTGTGTGTAATTCTGTGCAGGCCACAAGTGTATGTGTGAAATTACAGTAGCTTTCTTTGTTATAGGGGATACTTTTTATCAGGTGAAAATTAGCTGTCTTTAGTCATCCTGCAGCTTGTATTGTACAGTTAAGAGTTTAAATTTAACAAATGTAAGCAAATCTAGTAGGCTGTTTTTGATAAGCTGGACCACCTTACACAGTGCTTCGTGACTAAAATTACTTGTTGAAAGTTTGCAAAATAATGTTTGTGTGAGATGCAAGAAAAAATATACGTTAAAATGTGGGCATAGATAAATAGTTCTAAGTTAGCTATTTACAAGTAAAAGCCCTGTGTAGGCCATTCCCACAAATCTGTTGATTGTCTTTCATCTAGAACAAAAATTTATTTACCTATACAAACTTTTAAGCACTGTCTCCAAAATGTGGTTTTAGTGAGAGCCCTGACCGCTGAGCAGGACCAGGTCAGCTTCTCTTGGCCAACAAGTGTCCCCCATGCCAACCACAGCGCTTCCAAGGTTGACTAACAAGCAACGTGCATGTCCTTGCAACAGAGTGGGAAAATCATCTAATATGGAAACCACAGCAGTCATCCTTACCTGCCATGCCCACTTGTCTGCGGGAACTCCTGGGAGGAGATCTTCTCCCCTCCTTTGCAATTAAGCTAGTCACTTGGGGCTCCCTTGGAATCCATGGAGAAAAGTGGGCCTTTGGAGCCTGGGAGGAGATCTTCTCCCCTCCTTTGGGAAGTCTGCATTTAAGCTAGTCACTTGAGGCTCCCTTTGAATCCATGGAGAAAAGTGGGCCTTAGGAGGAAGCAAGTCATCTGAAAAATGTACTTCCGTTACTTTTGGGTGAGATTAATTGTGCCAGAGAAGTGCCTATTTCTCCTACCTTACTGTGAAAGAGACCCAAACAACTAGCTCAGGTCCAGGTATCTGTACCATGAATCTCATGTCTTGATTGTATCTAGTCCTCCTGCTGAGGCCCTGAAAAAGAGAGGACCTAGTCCATAATGCTGATGTTAAAAGTAGCAGAAAGTTTCATGGATTCAGCTTATTGGATGTTTTCAGATTGTGTTTATTGAGAAGTAATGGAATTTTCATGAGGTGAAAGAAAAGGGAATTGAGCTATGTAGTCTAAATTTTTCAGAAATGTTAAGTTTCTGATGGATTATTTTGATTATCAGTTCATTGATTGTTTTTTGGGGGATTGTTTGTTTTGTAATTTAAGACTAATAATTTGCCACTTTTGAAGATATCCTGAGTTTATTCCTGAGCTCTATTGAGTTCTATTTCAACGCAGCTTCATACAGGCTATAAAGATGGATCAAAAGTAACACTCAGACTTCCTTGATATAGATACAGTAGAGAATTACTGTGTGGAACAGTTGGCAATGTGGAGGTGCCTAGTAAGAGTGTATTTACCAAAGCCAATTCAGCTATTTTAGCTTGGCTGATGGACTGGTTCCAGGGGACCCATTTTGGCAGCTGGGAATTCTTCCTGTGACCGTATGGTAGAACTGTAGCTACCCCTTCATGGACCCAGTCCATCGTGGAGTATGCTGTGCGTAGCATGGGAAGGAAATAGTAATGAATGTGGCTGCAGTAACCGTATGAGACAGAGGATTCGCTTCTAACCCAATCCAACCCATCTTTTAGAGTAACAACAGTAAGGGTCGTAAAACAAGGCTATATCCTACTGCATCCTCCAGAAAAATACTTAAACGGAAATATGCTTCACTTATCATAGATATGTGCCTGTTTCAAGAGCACTGTATTCTGTTAAACAGTATTCTTTCAGAAAGAAAATTCTTCCCTTGTTCACCTAATGATTGATCTTCCCTAAAGAATGGCAAAGGTAATCTCTTTCATTTTATTGGACATTTTTTTTTCTTTGAGAACAAGAGAGAGATTTTCTAGGCTGAGATAACACAGAGTAATACAGTGATCATGAAATGTCCAGAAGAGACAACAAACCTCAGCCCCGAGAACAAAAAAAGACCCTAAAGATTAGAATAACGTCCAAAAGGAAGAACTGTCCTTATTGTGCTAGAGAGCTGTAGAATAAACAAAAATGTTGCATGAGACTATTGCACACATTTAGAGCTCACAAGTATCTTCTGCC